AGAGTTTCACTCTTGTCCCCCAGGCTGGAGTGCAGTGGTACAACCTCAGCTCACTGCAACCTCCAACTCCCAGGTTGAAGCAATCCTCCTGCCTCAGCCTCCAGAGTAGCTGGGCCTAACGCACGTGCCACCATGCCCGAGGAATTTCTGTTTTTTTAGTAGAGACGGGGTTTCACCATGTTGGTCAAGATGTTCTCACTCTCCTGACCTTGTGATCCATCTGCCTTGGCCTCCCAAAGTGCTGGAATTACAGGCGTGAGCCACCTCACCCGGCCTGAAATACCTAGGATTTCAAACTGTCCTAGGGTTTCAGTGTCCTGATGACTAGTCACTACACTGCAGGAGACGGTGCAGTATGGTTTCTGTTGGGTCATCTGGACCCTGAACCCTCAACTGATTCAGTTCCCCAACAGCAAGAGAAGATGCGAGATCTTAATATCAGGTCTCAGGACTCCTATAGTAGGTACTCCAATACTGTTAGGCTAGGGAGTTTCCCCAGCGCGGGCCACATACTGTGTGCATCAACCCCTAACTTGACTGTCGGATGCCGACTGGTCTCACCCTTCACCTTCTAATCACAGGGCCCCTGCTACCTTGGTCACAGAGATGAGCACATAACCCAACTGGGCAAATCAAAAAATTGAAATGAGATTTTTCAAAGTAGACTAGCAGAGAAAAAGCACCTTTCCCTTCTGATTCCCAACCTGCTGATTCCCATGTATCTCCTGCATTTGCCTGCAGTAGGAGAGACTGGAAGCCACCCACGGAAGGCATAGTCATGAGCACCCATCAATAATCAATATCTCTTTTTTTTTTTTTTTTTTGAGACGGAGTCTCACTCTGTTGCTCAGGCTGGAATGCAGTGGCACGTTGTCGGCTTACTGCAAACTCTGCCTCCCAGGTTCAAACAATTCTCCTGCCTCCCAAGTAGCTGTGATTACAGGCACCCGCCATCACCCCTGGTAATTTTTGTATTTTCAGTAGAGACGGCGTTTCGCCATGTTGGCCAGGCTGGTTTCGAACTCCTGACCTTAAGTGATTCGCCCGCCTTGGCCTCCCAAAGTGCAGGGATTACAGGCGTGACCCACCACGCCTGGCGGCAACCCTCATCTTCAATCTGCCGCCTTGTCTTACCTCATGCAGTTCCCTATGCCTGGACTGCCCTTCCTGGCCCCAAGGTTACCCCCTCCAGGAAGTCTCTGAGTCCCCACATTAGACCAAGTGCCCTTCTTCTTATATTGAAATCTCAGTGCCTACCTTCGTATATTGAAATTGAACTATGTGGGTGTTCATCAGGCCTGTTTCATTTGCAAGAGGCAGAAACAACTCAGGAGGGCTTCAGTAATGCAAGTTCAGCCACAGTGGGATTCAGGGGCTTAGTGTCACTGGAACTTGGCGTCTCCCCTATCTCTCCATTTTGCTTTCCTCTGCGTTGAGATCGTTCTTAGGTCAACTTCCTCCCTTCGCAGGCCTAGGGGGGTGTGGTGGCCCAGATGGACTGACACAGAGTCTCATTGGACCAACTCGGGTCAGGTGGCCTGCATTGACCAATCACAACAGCCTGGTGGGTAGGATACACTGATTGGCTAGGACTGGCAGGGGGCGGAGTCAGCCCACCCAAACCTTGGGGATTGAAGAGTGGAAGAGGGGTGTCCCCAAAGGAAATAAAATCAGGAGGAAGTGAGGGACAGGACAGGCGCGAACAACCCAATAGCCCCTACCTACAATGTGGATGGACCCCACCAGACCATGGGCTCCTCAAGGGCAAAAATAATAACAAAGGCTCCCAAGATCTGAGGGACAAAATAAATAAATAAATAAACAAACAAATAAATAAATAAATAACTACCAAGGCTCACATTGACGTATATCCTATCTCTAGTCTCTGTTATAAATGCAGTGCACATATCCTTGACTCTAGTGATCAGAAACAACCCCACGAGATATTGTTTTGCTTTCTGGTTTTTTTTTTGAGACGGAGTCTCCCTCTGTCGCCAGGCTGGAGTCCAGTGGTGCAATCTCGGCTCACTGCAACCTCTGCCTCCTGGGTTCAAGCGATTCTCGTGCCTCAGCCTCCCGAGTAGCTGGGACTACAGGCTCGCGCCACCACGCCCAGCTAATTTTTGTATTTTTAGTAGAGACAGGGTTTCACCATGTTGGCCAGGATGGTCTTGATCTCTTGACTTTGTGATCCATCCGCCTAAGCCTCCCAAAGTGCTGGGAAATCAGGCATGAGCCACCGTGCCTAGCCAGGTTTTCTTTTAAGGGAAAATTAGAATGGCCCCATAATTACTCACAAATTGAATCTTTTCTCCCTCAGCTTTATTGTGGTATGATTGACAAAGAAAAATTGTATATATTTAAGATGTATAGCAAGATGTTTTCTTAAAAGTCTACATTCCAAAATTGGTACAAAGTAATTAATATATCCATCTCCTCACATTATTACAATTTTGTGCGCGTGTGATGAGAACAATTAAGATCTACTCTCTTAGCAAATTTGAAGTACAATATCCAATACACCAATACAGTATTAATAAACTCAGCGTGTTGTACACCAGGTCTTCAGATCTTTGTTTGTTTGTTAGTTTGTTTGTTTTGAGACAGACTCTTGCTCTGTCACCCAGGCTGGAGTGCTGTGGTACAATCTCACTCACTGCAACCTCTGCCTCCGAAGTTCAAGCAATTCTCCTACCTCAGCCTCCTGAATAGCTGGGATTACAGACGTGTGCCACCACACCAGGCTAATTTTTGTATATTTAATAGAGACTGGGCTTAGCCGTGTTGCCCCGGCTAGTCTCAAATTTCTGGCCTCAAGTGACTTGCCTGCCTCGGCCTCCCAAATTCCTGGGATTACAGGAGTGAGCCACCGTGCCCAGCCTCAGCTCTCCTAACCTTGCACATCTTATAGCAAAACGTTTGCACCCTTTGACAGAACATCGCCACAGTTTCCCCGCCCCACCAGCCCCTGGTAAGCGCTATTTTACTCTGTTTCTATGAGTTTGATTTTTTAAAATTCCACATATAAGTAAGATCATGCAGTATTTCTCTTTCTGTGCTTGAATTATTTCTCTTGGCATAATGTCCTCCAGATTCATCCATGTTGTCACAAATGGCACGTTTTCTTTCTTTCCTTTTATTATTTTATGTATTTATTTTATTTTTTGAGGCTGAGCCTTGGTCTATTGCCCAGGCCGGCAATCTCGGCTCACTGCAACCTCCACCTCCCGGTTCCAGTGGTTCTCCTGCCTCAGCCTCCAAAGTAGCTGGGATTACAGGTGCGCGCCAGTATGCCCAGCTAATTTTTGTATTTTTATTTTTATTTATTTATTTATTATTATTTTTTTTTTACCAGTCATCTTTTATTTGGAGGTTAATTGCATTAGGATATGAAAGGATTCAGCAATAATCAAGACTGTGTTCCTTATGGAGGGGCTCAAGCCAAGAAGGTCGCGGAGGGGAGTGCAGAGCTTGTCTTCTTCAGTGGTACTTGCGTCGCCGCTCTTGCTTGAGCTCCTTGTAGGAAATGGTGTAGTTGAAGACCACGTAGCATGCCAGCACACGGTTAGCCCCGCGATGCTCCCCTTCTCTTCGAAACACTCCAACAATGCCACTAGGGCTGAAGTCCCGCATCAAGATCCAGCTTGGCAGCTCTCCTAGTTTGACCTCCAGAAGTTTTCTGTCCTTCAATGGTATGACTGATGCCATCTTGGAGTACTCTAATTTTTGTATTTTTAGTAGAGACGGGGTTTCACCATGTTAGCCAGGCTGATCTCAAGCTCTTGACCTCAGGCAATCTGCCCTCCCTGGTCTCCCAAAGTGTTGGGGTTATAGGCGTGAGCCACCGCTCCTGGCCCTTTTCAAAATTTTTTATTTTATTTATTTATTTATTCTGAGACTGAGTCTCGCCCTGTTGCCCAGGCTAGAGTGCAATGGCACGATCTCAGCTCACTGCAACCTCCACCTCCTGGGTTCAAGCAATTCTCCTACCTCAGCCTCCCAAGTAGCTGGGATTACAGGCATGTTCCATCATGCCCAGCTATTTTTTTGTATTTTTAGTAGAGATGGACTTTCACCATGTTGGCTGGGCTGGTCTTGAACTCCTGACCTTGTGATCTACCTACCTCACTCAGTCTTCCAAAGTGCTGGGATTACAAGCATGAGCCACCACACCCGGCCTTTAATTTTGTTTTTATTTATTTATTTATTTTTGAGATGGGTCTCAGTCTGTTGCCCAGGCTGGAGTGCAGTGCTGTGATCTCAGCTGACTGCAACCTCCGCCTGCTGGTTTCTAGTGATTCTCCTGCCTCAGTCTCCTGAGTAGCTGGGATTATAGGCACACGCCACCATGTGTGAATAATTTTTTTTTTTTTTTT